AAAAAGTTATAAGTAATTTTTCACTAAATTGCTGACACTGACTTCAAATTTGTGATCACTGCCTCTGCCTCCTGAGCCACTGGAATTACAGGCATGCATTGCCATACCCAGTTTGTTTATTTTTCCAGGCGTGGGAAGCAATGCAGTAAGGAAGAAGGAAATTAGGTTTTCTTCTTCTTTCCTTGATGGTCTTCTAGTACAGTATGTGAAGAAGTTATTAGAGTGTTTCTCTCATCTCCTTCTGATGGGCTGGAATAGATCTTCCTAAAAGAGAGCAAGGGATTAGATTTTCCAAGGGCAGCTTTAGATGGGTTGAGTTCATAATGGTGTCATCGATTTTAGTTCCTCTCCCTTTGCAATGAATGAATAGGTCACTGTCCAGTGTAAATGGGCACTTATTAAATGTTCTTATTTTTATAAAATAAATTATTAACATTTTATGGACTATTCTTTTTACTCAAATTTATAAGAGCTTTTCCATTTTTATAATATTAGAAATAAGTGCATGCACCCTGTTATACTTTCTTATAGCCACATCTTTATGAAAAAAGTATTCATGCATAAGTGCTTAGCTGAAGAATAAATTGGACTCCTCAAATAATTGTCACTTTAATTTTCCAGTCATTGATGAAAAATAAGACTATGTAAGTTCACAGATTATCCCAATTTGACAGAAATAAGTAGATAATTTTATGTATCATTTTAAGATCATAGTAAGTTAGTAGAATTTGATTTTAAAGTCGAATGAAACTGCTGATGTATATATAGGTCATTCTTTACAAACATATTCAGTGAAGGTTCAGAAAAACTTATTTCTTCCTACTTCCTCCCCAAAGTGTGCACATTGCTTATTCTTGGAAGAGGGAAGAGACAAAAATCACCCGAAATGTTCCTGTAGTATGATTTGGCAGCAAGATTGCCTTTCCCTTTAGAAACTGATACACTTGTGCTCATTGATTGGGGCTTGGAATGAAGTCCTTTAGCATGAGTTCTGAGCAAGATGCATGTTGTCACACTCCCCTACTCCCCCCTGTTAAACAGGTCTAGACTTTCCACTTGCTTCGTGTATAGTATTGAGAAAGTTTAATTTCTCAGGGTCCATATCTTCTTAACTGCAGAGGCAGAATGACTTCATACTGTCTGGTGATGAATAAATGGCAAAAGTAGTCACCATATCTTGAGCATCTGCTGTGATCCACTCATACCATTTAACCTCTCATTGTCATTAACCTTTATAGCAACACTCTGGCGTAAGAGGAATGCTAATTCACATTTGGTACAAGAGTGCATATGTAAAATGCCCATTACAGCATCCAGCTCAGTAAATTGTAGTTCTGAGAATAATATTAATCATAGTTATTGTCACTTTTTAAAAATATTATTATTATTTACAAGGTGGGGTCTCACTATGTTGTCCAAGCTGGTCTTGAACTCCTGTACTCATGTGATCCTCCTGCCTCAGCCTCCTGAGTGCTGGCACTGCAGGCTTGTACTACCTTGCCCATTTATTTTTGCTTTTGTTACTGCTGTCATTTTACAGCTGCACTCCTGTTTTATTTAGCAAAATCAATTTAAGGATATTAAGAGGAAGCGAGATTAAGGGACACAAAGATTAGATGAGGGAATTCAAACTCAGGATTTTTTCATCAAGATCAATGCTGTTCACCATCACATTATTTTGTTGGAGGTGGGGGGTGGTTGGCTTGTTCTTTGAGACTTCTACATTCACTAAATCCTGACATTATGCATAGGATCACTTTATTCTTAGTGGGACAATATTTTCAAATTATATTTTAAAACAGTTTGATATTTGAAAACATGCTGATATGATTTTTAAAAGGCACTTTTTATTCTTGTATATGAAGCTATATACACTTCAAGAGTAATTTCACTGGCTTACATACTTGTTGGCTTGGCTGATTCTTCTGCTGTTTCTCTGAGTGTTCCTTATGCAATAGGATAAAAATCTTGCTTTGGTATAATAGATTATTCCCCATGAAATGTATTTCTCTCTGTAGTAACTGGATTGTTTCTGTACCACTGTTAAACTACTATTTTTGCTAATGAAGATAATCTAATGTCTTACCTAATGATTCATACAATTCATACAATTTTACATACAAAAAATTAATCTGTTAGTTTCATGAATAGAGTTGTGGAAAAAGACTATTACTATATAAATTGGCACATGATACTAATAGGTATAATTACTTAATAAAATTCATCAGGACCTGTTATTTAATATTTAGCTTAGTCCATGGTATGCATTTACTTCTAATTTAAAAAAAAAAATTTACTTTTGGGAATTTTTTTTTTTTTTGGGTACTGTTGATTGAGCCCAGGGGCGCTTTGCCATTGAGCCACATCTGCAGCTCAGTAAATTGTGGTGGAAGGTGTGGGATCTGATTTTTTTCTACAGAACTAAACTTCAAGCAGTTTTCTTAACCTCAGTAGAGCTCGGTTTATCTATAAAATGGGAATAGCAATAACTGTTAAAGTCACTTGTATTCTGGGCTTTAAACAACCAAAAATAATCCACTTAAGTTAAACACAAGAGTGATGTGCTGGAGAGATAAGAGATGGCTTTCTTTTATTTTTGAGACAGGGTCTCACTAAATTGTTGAGGCTGGCATCAAACTTAGAATTCACCTGCCTCAGCCTTTCCAGTCACTGGGATTACAGATATGCACCATCACGCCAGTTCCTTCAGGGAAATTTAAAACTTAAAACATAAATGAATTAAGAAACATTGAAGTGTGATCTGTTTTTCTTAGAAATATGTATATTTAAAGGCATTAAAGTTTCAGAATACTATTAAAATTATATCATTTATTGAGTTGTATGAGGGTTATTTACTAGTTTTTACATTATGTTTATTAGATAAGTATATATTAAGATTCCACAGAAAGCAGAGCAGTGTACTGAGAATTTTGCTAGCCCTTAGGAATGCTGACATATAATAGTTCATTAACTTCTTGGAGCAGCTAGTGATTTCTGTTTGGCTCAGAATTTGACCGTTACGTATAAGGATTTGATGCATGTGAAATTCTCCAAATCAAAATAAAAAGTAACTTTTAGCAAAATGTACACTGTCCACTTTGCAGTGTCTATAATGGAGCAAAAAAAAAAAAAAACCCACTACCACATGCATTTATAAGAACCACTTTACAAAGTAAAAATCTTTCCTTATATTACTCTTACAACTGTAAGTATCTAAAAAAAATGAGCAAGAACACTGGTAGCATGGCAATTCTTCAGGATATCTGCTCACTTTCTGCCAGCATGAGGTCACACTGCCATTAAAAACATTGCACTTTTACAGTTTACAAGCTCTTCCTCATACATTCTGACTTCATCTCGATGACAACCAAGTGAGAAGGCAAGTGAAGTGGAATGTTGTTATTTCTGCCTGCCCAGCATCTCAAAGCCCTTTCCCCGTGGGAAGATCCCACAGATGAAATTTGTGGAAAATAAAATGGGCTCTGCCTCCGTCTCCTGAGACTAACAGCCACCGCCTATCTTCTCAGCACATCACTCGTGTGTAACCTAAGTGGAATATGTTTTGGTTGTTTACAATCCAGAACACAAGTGACTTTAACAGTTATTGCTATTCCCCTTTTATAGATAGAGAATCTGAGCCCTACTGAGGTTAAGTAAACTACTTGAAATTTAGTTCTGTAGAAAAGCCTAGATCCTACATCTTCCAGTTCAGGGTTGTTTCTTTCACGGCGCTCTGCTTTCCCAGATATCATCAATGACCTCTCCAAAAATTGAGGTGTATTCCGTCTTCCTCTATATCTCCTTGATGCAGTGTTTAATACATTTGCTGTTTCAGTGCTTATCTGTATTACGTCAAATTTGATTTTCTACACCAGACTGTTGAATACCTTGGAAAAAAAAGAAGATTTTTTAATACTCCTTGTTTTCCCATAAACACATCCTGGAGTACCTGGGTGCAGAGTCAGTAGTAATAAAGATTTTAATGAGTGAGCAAATGAGTGCATAAATTACTCAATTAACCAAAAAGAACAACATGGGCTTGAAGTTGATATTAAAAGAATGAGATTCATTTTTACAAACAATACCACTGTTCTTTATCAATCAAAATTTTAGAATATTTTAAATAAGTGATTTGTCTTGAACATATACAGGCAAATCCCATGCTTATTTATGTGCCAGGTTGTTATTACAGAGATAAATAAGAATTAGTCTCTCTTTTAAGTCTCCCAGACTGATTGGGAAAACAAATGATTCCATATCTCAGATAATAGAGCTATGGGAACAAGCTGTGGTGATATGGAGAATGATTAGAGCCGCAGGACTGTCAGCAGCCACAGGAACCACACACCTGGCATGAAGCTACAGCTCTGAGCAGGGTACTGAACATATCAAGGCCAACAGCCACAGCTCCTTGGAAGCCGCAGAAAAGCACAAGGTGCTTTACATCTCTAAAACACTGTGGGACTTAAAAAAAAAAAAAAGTCATGTGGATTCTTTCCTTTTTTAAGGGACACAATACCTTTATTTTATTATATTTATTTTTATGTGGTGCTGAAGCTGGAACCTGGTGCCTAGGAATGCTAGGCAAGCGCTCTACCACTGAGCCATAACCCCAGGCGCTACATAGACTTTTAACCTAATTATCGTTAAAAGTTTATATTCAAGTCTTGTCATCAAAATCACTTGAATAATTTTGAAATTAACTGTATCATTTGAGAATAATGCATGAGACTATTTTTCGTTTCAATACAAAGATGATAATGAAAATAGATCTCTGTCTTTATGCATTAAAGCCCAGTACAGTAGAAACAACAAAGGACATAAAACCACACACACACACACACACACACACACACACACATATATATATATATATATCTTAGATTGAATATATATATTAGATTGAATCAAAATTTGTCAATATGATTTCCATTTTTGTACAAGTTATGCAAGCAGATGGAGAAAAACTTAACTCTAGAATATTTGGATATCATTTGCAGACAATTACTACGGTACCCCAAAGCCTCCAGCTGAACCAGCACCATTATTATTAAATGTAACAGACCAGATACTTCCGGGAGCCACTCCAAGTGCCGAAGGAAAACGGAAGAGAAATAAGTCAGTGAGCAACATGGAGAAAGCAAGTATAGAGCCTCCTGAGGAGGAGGAGGAGGAAAGGCCTGTGGTCAACGGAAACGGAGTCGCAGTAACGCCAGGTTGGTCATTCGTATTCTTCATAAATTCATCACTTTTTCATTTTAGGTGTGGGTATCACATATTGTTGAATCTGTGTGTGTTCAGGTGTTAATATACTGCAATTATCTTTAAAGGGGGAAGATGATATTTTTTTGAGAGACGTGTTTATTTTTTATTTTTGTGATGTGATGTATATTTTATTTTGATTGTTTCCATTAGTGCATTATAATCATCCATAATAGTGGAGTTCATTGTGACATATTCATACATCTACATAACAGAGTTGGCTCCATTTCATTCCCCAGTACATCTCCTTTCCCTCCTGGCTTTCCTTCTGGTGATCCCGTTCAGCTGCTCTGCTGTTCTCCCTTCTATTTTGAAAAAAAAATTTTAAGTTGTGGATGGACACAGTACCTTTATTTTATATATTTATTTATATGTGGTGCTAAGAATCAAACCCAGGGCCTCACACATGCTAGGCAAGTGCTCTACACTGAGTCTCAACCCCAGTCCCTTTCTTTCTATTTTTGTGACATTGATTTTTTTTACATGACAGTATAATGCATTTATGCACTTTGATATATCATACATAGATGGGATATAATTTCTTATTTTTCTGAGTGTACATGTTGTAGAATCACGTTGGTCATGCAGTCACATATATACATAAAATAATAATGTCTGTTTTGTCCTACTATACTTCCCTCTACCTAATCTAAGGTAACTCTGTTCTTCTCTAATACTCCCCTCTTTCTTGTGAATTAACATCCACATATTAGAGAAAACAATTAGGCCTTTGGTGTTTGGGGATTGGCTTATTTCACTTAGCATGATATTATTCAACTCCATTCATTTACTGGCAAAATTCCATAATTTCATTCTTCTTTAAAGCTGAGTAATATTTCATTGAATATATATACCACGTTTTCTTTATCCATTTGTCTATTTCAGGACACCTAGGTTGGTTCCATAGTTTAGATATTGTGAATTGAGCTGCTATAAACATTGATGTGGCTGCATTACTGTAGTATGCTGATTTTATACTGTAGTATAAACCAAGGAGTGGAGTAACTGGGTCAAACGTGGTTCCATTCCAAGTTTTCTGAGGAATCTCCATACTGCTTTCCATAGTGGTTGTACCAATTTTCAGTTGCACCAGCAATATATGAGTGCACCATTTTCCCCACATCCTCACCAACATTTTTTATTCTCTGTATTTTTGATGATTGCCATTCTCTTTGGAGTGAGATGAAATCTTAGAGTAGTTTTGATTTGCATTTCTCTGATTGCTAGAGATGTTGAACACTTTTTTATATATTTAGATTGGTTATATTTCTTCTTTTGTGAGGTATCTGTTCAGTTCCTTAGCCCATTTATTGATTGGGTTATTTGTTTTGTTTGGTGTTAAGTTTTTTGAGTTCTCTATATATCCTTGTGATTAATGCTTTATGGGAGGTACATGTAGTGAATATTTTCTTCCAATCTGTAGGCTCTCTCCTCACATTATTTATTATTTCCTTTGCTGAGAAAAAAACTTTTTAATTTGAATCCATATCATTTATTGATTCTTTTTTAAAAATACTTATTAATTGTTGATGGTCATTTATTTATTTATATGTGGTGCTGAGAATTGAACCCAGTGCCTCACACATACTAGGCAAGCGCTCTACCACTGAGCCACAACCCCAACCCCTCATTTATTGATTCTTGATTTTATTTCTTGAACTTTAGGGTCTTGTTAAGGAAATCAGATCCTAGGCCAACATGGTGAAGATTTGGGTGTACTTTTTCTTCTATTAGGCTCAGGGTCTCTGTTTTAGTGCCTAAGTCTTTGATCCACTTTGAGTTGACTTTTGTGCAGTGTGAGAGATAGAGGTTTAATTTCATTTTGCTACTTACAGATTGTTTTGCCAGCACCATTTGTTGAATAAGCTATCTTTTCTCCAGTGAATGTTTTTGGCAACCTTGTCTAGACCACAGCACAATAATACTGGGTGACTTTAACATGACTGGACAGATCTTCTAAACAAAAACTCAATAAGGAAACTATAGAACTAAATAATACAAACAGTAATTTAGACTTAACAGACATATATAGAATATTTCATCTATCAATGAGCAAATATACTTTCTTCTCAGCCGCACATGGCTTCTTCTCTAAAATAGACCATGTCTTGTACCACAAAGCAATTCTTAGTAAATTCAAAAAAGTAGAGATACTACCCTGCATTCTATCAGATCACAATGAAATTAGAAATCAATAATAAAAAAAATGGAAGATAAAATTAAAAATGTAACAAATGGAGACTAAATAATACACGATTAAGTGATGAAGGGATAGTAGGAGTAATCAAGGATGAAATAAAAAAATTCTTAGAAATAAATGAGAATATAGATACAACATATCAAAATCTCTGGGACACTATGAAAGCAGTACAAAGAGGAAAGTTTATTGCACTGAGCACCTTCATTAAAAAAAGTCAACAAATAAATGACCTAACTAATACTACATCTCAAAGCCTTAGAAAAAGAAGAGCAAATGAATCCTAAAAGCAGTCGAAAACAGAAAATAATTAAAATCAGAGCTGAAATCAATGAAATTGAAACAAAAGAAACAATTAAAAAATTTGACAAAATAAATAGTTCTTTTAAAAAAATAAATAAAATAGATAACCCCCTGGCCATGTTAACAAAGAGAAAAAGAGAGAAAATTCAAGTTACTAAAATACTAGAAAAAGAAGGAAATATCACAACGGACATGTTTGAATTACAGAAGATAATTAGAAACTATCTTGAAAATTTATACTCCAATAAAATAGAAACTATTGAAGATATTGGCAAATTTCTAGAGACATATGACCTTCCCAAACTGAATGAGGAGGTTATACACAATTGAAAGAGATCAATTTCAAGTAATGAAATAGAAAACACCATCAGAAGCCTACCAACCAAGAAAAGCCCAGGACCAGATGGATTCTCGGCCAAGTTCTACAAGACTTTTAAAAAAGAATTAACACCAATACTCCTCAAAGTATTTCATAAAATAGAAAAGGAGGGAACCCTTCCAAACTCATTCTATGAGGCTAATAATACCCTGATGCCAAAACCATACAAATACACAACAAGGAAAGAAAATTTCAGACCAATATCCTTGATGAACATAAATGCAAAAATTCTCAACAAAATTCTGGCAAATTTCATACAAAATTATATTTTAAAAGATAGTACACCACCATCAACTAGGATTTATCCCAAGGAAGAAGGGTTGGTTCGACATACAGAAAAAAATACATTTATCATATTAATAGAGTTAAATACGAGAATCATATGATCTTCTCAATAGAAGGAGAAAAAGCATTAGACAAAATACAGCACACATTCATGTTCAAAACACTAGAAAACTAGGGATAGTAGGAATATATCTCAACATTATAAATGCTATATGTGCTAAACCCAAGGCCAGCATCATTCTAAATGGAGAAAAATTGAAAACATTTCCTCTAAAAACTGGAACAAGACAAGAATGTCCTCTTTCACCACTTCTATTCAACATCATCCTTAAAACTCTAGCCAGAGAAATTAGACAAAAGAAAGAAATTAAAGGGATACAAATAGGTAAAGAAGAACTCAAACTATCACTATTTGCTAATGACATGATTCTATATCTAGAAGATCCAAAAAATTATACCAGAAAACTTCTAGAATAAATGAATTTAGTAAAGTTGCAGGATATAAAATCAACACCCATAAATCAAATGTATTCCTATACATCAGCGATGAATCCACTGAAAGAGAAATTATGAAAACTACCCCATTCACAATAGCCTAAAAAAAATAAAACTGGGAATCAATCCAAGAAATGAGGTTAAAGACCTCTACAATGAAAACTATAGAACACTAAAGAAAGAAATTGAAAAAAACCTCTGAAGATGTAAAGATCGCCCATTCTCCGGGATAGGCAGAATTAATATTGTCAAAATGGCCATACTACCAAAGCATTATACAGATTTAAACCAATTACTATTAAAATCCCAATGAAATTCTTCATAGAAATAGAAAAAGCAATCATGAAATTTATTTGGGAAAATAAAAGACCCAAAATGACAAAGCAATCCTTAGCAAGAAAAGTGAAGCAGGTGGCATCACTATACCAGACTTTAAACTATACTACAGAGCTATGGTAACAAAAATGATGTTGGCACCAAAATAGACTCGTAGACCAATGGTACAGTATAGAGGGAAGATGATTCTTATACCCAACTTACTTTATTTTTGTCATTTTCATTCAACTTCTTTTAATTTTTGGTTTCCCTTATACAATATTAATGACAATATAGAAAATGGCTTAAACTTCTTAGAAGGTTTCCCAAATCACATGATTATATAAAATTTTGAGGTGCTTTAAATTAATATTAAATCTATTCTTTGAATTTTGGTTATGCATTTGTTTTTTATGTTTATATTTAGTATTAATAGAGCACAAAATTATTTTTAATAATATTCATAATTATTACAAAAACTATAGCATTCTGTTAGCCTCTTGTAGTAAGTTTTCAAAATGCTAGCTTTACCTATTAATTTTTTAATATGGCATATCAGTGGATATTGAAATTCTAAGTATGTGTTCAAGCTCTTAAAAAACGTTAGCACATGCACCTTGAGGCATTATTATAAGATATTTCCTGCTACTACTTTGATGTCTATGTTTTTATTTTTCACTGTACTGCTTTTCTACTGACAGAGTATTTGAATTTTCATGCTCAGTTATTTTTTATCAAAGTAAAGCTTCGTAAACTGACTTTTGATCTTCCTTTTCAAAAATATCTGTAAAGAGTGTTCTTCATTAAGCATAAGGCAAACATAGGAGACCAAATCTCATCTGAGCCTATTAAGGTAAAAAAAACATAAAAAGTGGTTTCATCTTGATGACTCAGGACAACTTTCTCAATTAGTATGCCCAGGTAAAACTGTATTCTCTGGCTATAGCAATCATTAGTTTCTAGATACAAATGCTAAAAAA